TCTCAGTTTGAAAGTTTTGTTTTAACTTTTTTTTTTATTTGAAATTGTTCTAATAGTGGTTTGTTTTACCAGAAAACTTTACCTGGTCATATAATACCCGAACTGCATAAAATTTGAAGACTAGGCAAATTTTGATTTGTCTTATTGGTAATTGGTTGGTTTGGTAATTTCCATGTACAAGTCATATATATATATATATATTTATTTATTTATGCCATATTTAAATTAAACATGTAAGTTACTCAGGTTTGCTTCTATGTGAAAGGGCAAAAGTGTTTTTGTTTTTATTTTATTTTATTATTATCAAATGAAATAAATTAATTTGGCAAATTTTATAAAAATACATCCATGAACCAGCAAAATTCTACAGTTTGTTTATTTTCTATATAAAAAAAAACATACAAATTTTTAATTTTGTCAAAGATTGACTTTTCCAAACGATGCAGTTTGAGTCAAATGACGATTTGCAACAGTGTAACAAAAAAATACAGGGTAAATTTTTAGTGTATACTTTTTTCCTCGATAACCATTAGGTTTAAAACAGTGTTTGAAAATTGTTTGGTTTTTTAAGCTCTACAAAATAGTTTAGAAAGAATTGCAAAAATGTTATGTTTTGGGGGTAAAAAATGGGGAAAACCAATTTTCACTCTAACAAATCCCGATCCCATAGTCCGATTATGGTGGTTTGTGAACTCGCCTGAATAGATGTAGGTTTACACCTTTGTACCAAATTTCATAGTAATTTTGTTAACCAACACGCACACATTTAAAAAAAAAAAAAAGAATTTGAAAAAAATAGAGAAAATCATTGATTAACAGGCCAATGAAAAATGACATAATCTTTGCCCAGTTTTAGAACGAACTTGGCAACCTTTGACTCACAAGGCATGCAATCTTTCTACTCAGTAAAACGTCATTCAGATTGGTTGTACAGTGCTGTGATTTCTTTGGATCCTTTTATTTTGCTAGGATAGGAAATGTTTCATATGTATATTTATAAAACACAACTGGCATAGCAGGTACAAATTATCTAATTAGTTTTAGCCAAATGTAGACTAATAACACAACATTTAACATGCACCGGTGGATTTTTTTAATTGCACCTCAATAAGGCATTTTACTACATTTTTGCTCATCCTTGCTGTGTTTGTGTGTGTGTCCACAACTGGTAAATAAAAGTTTATATTCCGGCTTAGCCTACAAGATGAGAGGAAACTGGATAAAATAGGCATAACTAAGACCCTATAAATAATCCATGGACATTACAGAATTTTGGTCAGTTCATAAAAAAGTGTTAAATACTCAATTCTAGAGCTATTCAACTTAGGCTGGTTTGTTACTTCTTGATTTTGTGTGTAATGGAGGTATTTTTGCAATGCAAGATAACAATCAACTAGCTGATAAACTGGAATGTCCCTGTAGTTTCATTAAAGCACGTGTAGTAAAATAATTGAAGGTGCAACCTTTTTACAATTTTGACCTTCAATCTGTGTTTTCGATATTTAAGCCATCCAATAAACAATTGAACCCCTCCAATCTGAAACACTTTGGAATGCCTATGGTGGTATTGAGGTGTCGATGTGCATGTGAGGACCTCATTTTACGGTCTGTTCCTTCAGTAAGGGTCTCTTCTCTCTATTGTACCAGAAGCTGCTTCTTCTGTATTACTTTCCCTGAGTGAAAGTTTAGCTTCTGCTTTGATGATCACAGCTTTTACCGAAACATCCTTGCCTAATCAAAGAGGTGTTTGCTTCATTGTAAATTAGTTTAGAACGATGCAGATGAATATTAGATCAATCCCCTTTACTTTATTTTTATCCAATTTCCCTATAGGGAAGTAGCTACATACCGTAGGTCTCATGGTAAGACCTAGGCCCGGGACCTATTTACTTTTTCATTTCCATTTCCCCAGAGGCCAAAAACACTATTTGTTCAATTTGTATGTACAAGATGTGTGTGTGTGTGTGTGTCCGTGAACGCGATAACTTGAGTAATTTTTGGCGGGATAAACTTGAATGAATTCGCGAACCTGCATGATCGGGCTATGGGAACGGGGTTTTATGGGGTAAAAATTTGTTTTTCTCATTCCCAAAAAATTCCTAATTTCTCTCTAGACCGTTTTAAAGAACTTAAGGTTATTAGTTACGGATAAATTCAAAATATCTCAATTTCAAAATTCCTACGTTACTCTTATGGAGAATATTGTAAATTGTAGTTTGCTTGTTTGTGGATATATTTTGATCAAACTTGGCAAATTTTGTTATTTTATACTAACCTATTATTATTTTACTAAGACTACACTTAGCAAGCATCTCTGTAGCAGCAAAACCTAGGTACTCGTTAACCTTATGTTATTTAAATACTAAACTGAAAATAAAATGGATAAAAAACAAATGGACATTCGCTTAGTCTGCAGGTTTGCTGCGGCGGGAGTTGGTCCTGTTCATAGACAACATTTGCCTGGTTTATGTCTTATGTTTTTCACTGTCTGAAACGAAAACAGTTTGTAATTCTCTGATGTAAATATGAGTAGTCGTATAGTGGTTGATTAATGATTAGTTCGAATTTTCTTAATTCGTTGAAATTGCCAGAATAATCTATGTATGACAAAACAATCTCAAAACGATTCAAAGGGCCAGAGGAAACAACCTTTCTTGTTTCTTCAAATTAACTTCGTACCAGGGGATAAGGAAATTAACGAGTCAGGTCTCAATAGTAGGAAACGACAATCCGTCGCTTAGCTTGTTTTCCTGTCCAACATGTTAGTTCAATTATGGTATTTCATTATTAGGGCGTAAAGTGACTCTTTGGCTAGGCGCACACGAGCGATTATTTTGAGGCGACTATTTCATCGGCCGATCTGTGCATCATGTATTTGAATGGAAGCGCGCACACAGGCGATTGAGAATTGCGCCGATTTTAAAATCTGGGTTTTGCCACAGATTCGTAGGCGAGGCGATTGTCGCCCGAAAATCTGTAACGTACAGATTGTTATCAGTCCGCGCACACGGTCGACTAAAAAATCGGCCAGTCGCTTGTTGTTCTCCACAGGAGTCAAGGCGGGGACACACTTGTCATACACTCTTCCGATCCTACTACGATCCGATTTGCGGGATTCCAGAAGGATCGGTGCGGGATCGGAGGGGGTGAACACACATGTCATACACGATTCCGACCCATCTCAGATTTCCTTCACCGGTCGATCAACACTTGCCAGTCTGATTTGTAAACTACGTGCAGAAGGTGGTAAAAATGTTCAAAAACTTTGGACTTCGGGATTCACCCATGATGGCGGTTTGTCTAGATGAAGAGGAAGAAAGTGAGACATCTCTGAAGGGCAGTGGAAAACGAAGAATTTGGGTTCATTCTGTATGGAAAGAAAGTTAGGTGGCTTACTTAAGTGCCCATCCTATATTAAGCACATTGGGTTTTCTCTCTCGAGTTCGATTGGCTCTTCTACCCGTCCGATTTTCATGATCGAGGTCTCAAATTGAAGGTATGCACGCACAGATTTCACATCAAGCATCGGCATATATTTATCTTAAACCATTATTCTTAAATCTTAAGAATAAAGGTGATTTAAAAAAAACAACCCATCCTGCATCCGACAAACGAATAGACTGCAGTGTCGGTGCGTGATCGGAGCCAAAATCGGAGTAGGATCGGAGTATGACGTGACGCGTGTCGGAGAGGTGTAAACAACCACGTTTAAAGTTATGTACCATTCCCCTCTCCGACAGTCGTACCACAGTATGATCGGAGTCGGATCGGAAGGGTGTATGACAAGTGTAGGCGGGGACACACTTGTCATACACCCTTCCGATCCGACTCCGATCCGATTTGCGGGAATCAAGTAGGATCGGTGCGGGATCGGAAGGGGTGAACACACATGTCATACACACTTCCGATCCATCACCGATTTCCTGCACCAGGTCGATTGTCCTTCCAAAACTCGTCAGTTGTTAGCTACGTGCAGAAGGTGAAACATGTTCAAAAACTTTGGACTTCGGGATTTAGCCATGATGGCGGTTTGTTTAGATGAAGAGGAAAGTCAGACATCTCTGGAGGACAGTGGGAAACGGAGAATTTGGGTCCATTCTGCATGGAAGGAAAGATCCTCAGAAGGAGAGTTTTCCACGATCATGCCTCATCTGTTGGACGACGAGACGAAATTTTACCAATATTTTCGAATGTCAAAGTCAACGTTCGACCAGTTGGAGCTCGAACTTAGAGAAACAATAACCAAGCAAGACTCGTACTTCAGACAACCGATCAGTCCTACACAGCGTTTGGCTGTTTTTTTGAGGTAAGTAAGGTGGTTTACTTAAGTGCCTATCTTATATAATAAACACTTTGGTTTTTATCGCTCGAGTTCGTTTGGCTCTTCTAGCCGTCCAATTTTCATTATAGAGGTCTTATTGAAGGTATGCACGCACAGATTTCACACCAAACATCGACTTATTTATATTAAACCATCACTCTTAAAACCTTAAGAATAAAGGGTGATTTTAAAAACCAAAATTGAAGGTAACACAATAATTAAACATTGGAAGGAAAACATGAAAAAATTTATTTTTTTGCCTTGAAATTTACATACCTAATCGTTGTAAACTTGCCTTGAAATTTATATAATACATGTAAACTAAGAAATCTTATAAAGTTTTTTATATTAAAAAATGTCTGTAAGAGAATAAACACAATTTATGTCTTGTTGTACAAAGAAAGAGAAAATACGAAAAGAAATCTTTTTGACTTGAATTTAAATAATAGATGTAAACTTATATAATACATGTAAACTAAGAAATCTTACAAATGTTGTTATATTAATAAATGTCTTAATAAATGAGAATAAACACGATTTTTTTATGTCTTGTAAAAAGAAAGAGAAAATACGAAAAAAATTCTTTTTGACTTGAAGTTAAATAATAGATGTAAACTTATATAATAGATGTAAACTGAGAAATCTTATAAATGTTGTTATATTAAAAAATGTCTTAATAAATGAGAATAAACACGATTTATGTCTTGTAAAAAGAAAGAGAAAATACGAAAAAAAATCTTTTTGACTTAAAAGTTACATAATAGATGTAAACTTATATACTATATGTAAACTGAGAAATCTTACAAGGTTATTATATCAATAAATGTCTGTAAGTGAATACAGAGGATTTCTTTCTTGATCTTCGGAGATGTTCGGTTGGTTTGATCCAGTGGGAACCTGATTTTGATACAAATTCCTCTCCATCCACGGTCCACCTACGTGCGAAGGTGTTGAACTAGCGGATGCCTCGTCTGATGATAAATAGGTCAAGGCGGTTCTTCGTTCATTGTTGATACGAAGCTGCTCCAGTTCGCACTCCTGTACTATATTAAAAATCTTCCCTTTCGCTGAGATTTGGAGAGCGGGATCCAGAGCTTTTAGGGATGGAGCGATTCCTGCTAAAAACGCATCAACAGGATGTTTTTCAGCAGATTGTTGACTGGGGTTTTCAGCTTCTTTTTCGGCCAATATATACGCCATCAGCTGAGATGACGCAGACTGTTGAGTTTTTAATTGTATGTTGGGGTGCTTCCTTTTACGATTTGGAAGTGCATTTTTCTTTACAACTGAAGGTCGACTGGCTGGAGTTGTGGGTGGGGGTGCTTGTAAGGGTTCTTGGATTTCGGATTCATCTGCGTAGCCACCATCTAGTGTTTGCTGTGTTTCCTGCATGTCCTCGGGGAAATTCGGCAGTTGTGAATCGTCATTAGTTGTAGACAAATCGCCCTCTTCATCTGGGACGTTACTTAATGTTTTGCGGTCACCGATGAAAGGAATCAAGAATTCGAGCATGGATTCGTACTTGTACTTGGCTTTAGATGTTGCCGCCTGACCAGATTTTGTTTTAGTTTTTTGTCGAGATCTTCGAAGGCTGTCTCGAATGCCATTCCATTTTTTCTTGCACTCTTCCTCTTGACCTGAAAAAATTTAAAGATAGTAGCTCAATAGTAGTTATAATTAAAAATACATTGCAGTCCTTAATTTATTGTGATTAATGTTATCATTAATATAATGTTTTCCTTTCAGGTTTCTAGCTACGGGAGATACATTTAAGACAATATCCTTCAGCTACAGGTTGGGAAGAAGTACAGTTGCTTCTATCGTTCATCATACGAGCCAAGCAGTTATTGAGGTTCTTTTGAACAAAGTTATGCCAGTTCCCGATGAGGACAAGTGGAATGAAATAGCAGCCGAATTTTGGGACAGGTGGCAGTTTCCCAATTGCATCGGTGCAATGGATGGTAAGCATGTGAAGATACAAGCACCAAAGTCGTCGGGAAGTCTTTACTGGAACTACAAGAAAACGTACTCCATTGTTCTTCTAGCACTAGCTGGCTGCATACAGACTGATCCGCGGTCAGAGGGTAGTTTTGGATTATTCAAACTGACCCGGGGGTCTGGTAGGTAGATAATAGGGTCGCTTGAAACATGTGATCTGATCCGCGAGTCGTTGAAGGAGGACGGGAAATTCTCGAGGCTTCTACGGGATAAATAATTTGAGCAACAGACTAAGTATTTCCTTATACAACCACTAATATGATTTAGCCTAATAGCTTATCTTAGCAATTTAGTTGATTTGGCTTAAATATTGCTATCGTATTTTATAATCTGTCACTTAGTAAAAACTAATGGTTATTTAGTACAAACCAACAGAAATACATCAATGATCATTTATATTGCTATATGGTTCTATTGAGTGATTATACCTCACCCTATGTTTTAAACGAATTTTGAAGGTTTTTTGTAATTTTAATCTTTGTATGTTATGTATTTAAGCTGAGCTCAGTGTGTGGTGAGTGCTTCACCCCAGGACCAGGGCTCTCAAAACGTCTATGTTAATCCTATAGAATGCTAAAATTTACGTGAGATTTCACGTGTATTACTCTATTTGTTACAGTGTTCTTTATACTATCCTTAAAAATAATACATCGTTTGTTGTAAATTATTGTTGGTGCCATTGTCTCTTGTTGCTTTTTAAAATTTAAAAATGTAGTTTTTTTTATTTAAGATTAGGGTATGGTTATGTATTTCTTAGTTCTTGTAAGCTTTTTATGATAACAATATATTTGTTATTAAATTGGTACGTTTGATTCTTCCAGAAAGTAATTTGATAATAATGATGGGGACGGGACGATTAGTAATATGATTTATAATATTGTAATTTTTTATTATTAATACACAAGCTATCGAATTACTTTGTAATCATACAAAAATAAAAAAAAACAAATTATATTAAATCCCTTGCGCACAATGAAAGTTATGTATTTACGTACAAGTATTCAGTACAAATTCATGTTTCTTGATTCATAATTCAACAAATAGGTTCACTACAAAGTATAGAATTGGCTCATATCTTTGACTATTAATAAAACAAAAAATAAAGTAGAAAATATAATTTATATAGTCACTAGCGCATTCTGTGGCTGGCTCATACAACTACGTTCTTTTTTAACAAAAAATTGGCTACAGCTGGTCCATATGGATCTACTTCAGTATCCAATAGTCAATGCTTGTATTTAATTTGAGTCATATTACGTAAAATATATAATATCTATCAATTTAATTCCGTAAGTGAATCGGTCCCCATTCAATATCTCGAGCTACGTAAAAGGCTGTTGAGGATTCATTTTAAAGCTTAAGGTCCAAGGACGGTGGGCAAAAATTATATCAGAATATCAGAAGTGTCAAAACCCTGCTCTACACCACAGGCCGTCAGAGATCCGGTCATTTTATAATGGAAGTACTGCTACAGTTTTTCTATAAGCTATTTTAAACATACCAGCTGATGAAAACATTGCGTATTTGTATGTTCATTGTTTTTAGTGTTCTGTTTTTAGGTAAAAACGAACAAAAAGGTTTTATGGTCAAAAACTTGACCAAAAGTATGTATTGTGCAAACTTCTCTATTTTAACCCCACGCTGTAAATAAAACATGTGATTGGAATTTCTTCCATTTGTTTTGGTTTTCTGTTTATATTTTGTTGTTATTTCGTCATCACCATAGCAACCCATAAGACCCATGTTAATTTTTTTAAATTTTAAATTCACTTTTCGTGCTTATTTGTGAGCTTAATTCAATTTATAAAGGGGTTCTGCACATCCACAGGTAAATATCTTTCATTTGGTACCAACCGCGTGTAATTCGGTCCAGTAGTATGGTCAGGCTAGCTGTCATAAGTTTGGCAAAAGTTGCTGCCATGGACCCCTAATTGTCTATATTTTATTGACAATGTGTTAAAAAGACTAGCGGCGAACTACGCGATACCCATACCAAAATACAATGGCGATTATACAATTATTAGTGGGGGGAATATTTTATACTGTTCAAGACCTACATACCTACCTTGTTTGGTGTGTATATTAATAAAAAACACTCCTGAATGATGTAAAATGCTCTAAGATCATCTATAATTTTAGTACAATCTAGACAAATCTGGAATATTCTTTCTAGAGCATTCCAGATTAACTACTATCACGCACTTCCATAGTTAATTCATTAAGCTATAAGACCTCCTAGAATATTTCAGATCGTTTTAGATAACCATTCAAATATTGAATAAAATATAATATTTTCATGTACACGCATATTGCAGGCCTACGCTGCCTTGTCCAAAACCTTTTATTTTCAGTATCCAAACCATGCGATATAGGATGTTTATATAGGAAGAGGTAATTCACAGGGAGTTGGTATACACAGGTACACTCACCCTATAAGGAATTTGACTATCGTCTTCTCTGTAAAAATGTCTTGCGTAACGATGTCTATTTGGTTGAAGAATTCCGAAAACTCGACCCGGTCGAGACTAAGTATGCAGTTTGAAAAATCTTGATATTGCTGTAAGATGTTGACTTGAGTGAGATTATTAGGATATAATAGTATAAATTTTATATTTTAACCATTGATATAGTTACTTGTACTCTGAACCGTATTGAACGCTCGTAGTCTTAGCACTAAGACTTGAAGAATTTCATAGCAACTCTCAGTGAATATTGGCAGTAAAATTGAATATTTTAAAAGTAAACATTTGTAGCCAGAGATCAACTACTCTCTAAAGGTGCGTTACAATTGCAAGGATGGTTTAGTAATGTGTATACGAGATGCTGACAGACAAACTAATATACACACGATTTATTTTCTATTTTATTTTACGATTTATTTCTATTTATTTTATTTTATGGTGATAAGATTATAAGTGGTACAAAACTGTTTACTTTTTGAATGCAAACCAAATAGCAATTAAATAAATAAATGCCGAAATGCTATCCTCATTGAATACAAAACAATTAATTGACAACCTTAATAAAAAAATTATTATGTTAACTTTTTGCCAATTGTAGAAACCGTTTGATATCGAAACTTATAGAATATTTGGACTGAATTGAATATAAATAGAAGACCAAAGTAGGCTAGCTATATTAAGCCAAATCAATTAAATTGCTAAAATTAGCTAATAGGCTAAATCATATTAGTGTGTATATAAGAAAATACTAAGTCTATTACTCAACTTATTTTTCCCGTAGAGGACGGGGAGAATTCCCATGCCTCCCTCAACGACTCGCGGGTCAGATCACATGTTTCAAGCGACCCTATTATCTACCTACCAGACCCCCGGGTCAGTTTGAATGATCGAAAACTACCCTCTAACCGCGGATCAATTCGAGCACACGCCACTAGCTGATCCGTGCTACAATTTTATTTTTGTTGACGTGGGGAGCTACGGAAGGAACGCAGACAGTGGTGTATTTTCGAAATCCAATTTCGGGAAAAAAATGCTCCGAAATGAACTAAATATCCCAGGGAACAAGTGTCTTCCAGGTACAAACACTGAACTTCCAATGGTTGTAGTGGCCGATGAGGCTTTCCCTCTCACAAACAACATCATGAGACCCTATCCTGGGAAGAATTTGACGAAAGAACAAAGAATCTTCAACTACCGATTGAGTAGGGCTAGGAGGATATCCGAAAATGTGTTCGGCATTTTAGTGCAAAAATTCCGTATGTTCCTCAGGCCTCTCCAGGGAAATCCTGATAACATAACGAGAATTATTCTCGCAGCGTGCATTTTGCACAACTTTATTCGAAATCACGAAGGCTGGAAAGTGCCAGAACTCACTCAAGGTACTGATGACACAACTCCAGGAGAGAGATCTCGTCTTCAGAGCTTCCCTCGTCGACGAGGAAGGGAAAACCACGAAGCCTTTGATGTGAGGGAACAGTTTAAAGAATTCTTCAATTCCCCGGACGGTAGTGTGGAGTGGCAAGAACGAGTTCTCATGATGTAATTTGAATTGATTTACATTCTTATTTTGCAATTGTTTTGGTTTATACTAACAGCTATGTAAATCATTTCTTTATTTGAAATACAGAAATTTGTTTACTCAATTCCTAGTTATATTTATCGTATCACGCTTTTAACCCTCTATCTAGCATTTATAAATGTTATACTGGCAGGTCACTCCTTACTTTTTATACTAACATTACTTCAGAGCCGTATATTTAATGTTCTATTAACCAAAGGATATACAATTATTTTATATTTCCTTTCTACAGGACATTACAGGAAACAATTTTACACTATTGATGGATTTAAAAAAAAATCACGACTGTTCTATTGTAAAAAAAAGAAAAAAAAAATTATTTATAAATAAAAAAGTTTTTTAAAACAAAACGTTTCCAAACGCACTAAAAAGTAGAAAATAATTTATAAATATATGGAGAGTATAAATACTTGTAGGATTTGAAACGAAAAACGTTGGGTGTATGCAATAGATAATTTACAATTACCTTCATCTATTGAACTAATGTATAATTAACAATTGCATGCACCCAACGTTTTTCGTTTTAAATCCTACAAGTATTTATACTGTCAACATATTTATAAGTTATTTTCTACTTTTTAGTTTGTAATGTGTGTGGATGTTAAATCTATTTCAAGCATCTATATTAGGTGAAGACAGAGGCATGTGGGAAATCTTAGGTTTATATGAGTTTATTTTCATATAATTATGTATTAGATTGAATGTATGGCCTACCTACTAACCATTAAAAATACAAAATATTGATTGGTTAGAAATCTAAGATATAAAACGTATTAAATAATAATGTTTTATTTAAAATAAATAAAAGTAAAAATAATCATATTTACAATTAATTATTTATATGAAAGGTGCATTTCATTTGCATGAAAAACTTGAGACTACATGAAATTAAAGATAAAAATAAATGAAATCTAGTATAAGAAAAAGATTTTCTCCAATGTTTTAATTTGTATTTTATGAATTTATTAACTACTAAAAAACAAGAACATCAACGTTTTTAGCGGGTAACAATCTAAAAAATTCACAAATTTTGGGAAAAACTATTTTAATGAATTTCAACAATACATGGTAAACAAATAAATGAAGGTAAAAAGTGTTTTTTTACCATTCAACTCGATCAAATTTGTCGGGACCACGTAAAGTTGGCAGTTGGTGGCAGCCAATCACAAGACAAGGCTAGGGCGACGTTGCCACATCGCCCGTTGACAACACTAATTAAAATATACTAAGCAATATTTTCAAATCAGCTGTCATTATTAGATTTGGCAACACCGTACCGTTCTTAATAATTAATTCAAAACCATATGGTAAATAGGCTCCTCCCTCAACTGCAAACTTACGTGGTCCCGACTGGTTTACACGTTTAAATAGAATTTAATCAAATTCAAAACATTTGCTCGAGTTATATAGTGCTACCAAAACTGAAAACAATTAGAAATCGCATAAGCACAGACCGAATGAAACATTAAACAGCTAGGAGAACAAGTGATTCAAGTGAACTAAAAAAACAACATTTGTTCCTGTAGACAGTGAAGTTAACTACGCAGTGGCCAGTGATGCAACACATTTCTTTACCAAACTAAATTTACCACGCCACATGTGTGCCATGCCTATTTACCAGGTTAAGGTTTATTTTTAAAATGTCCCTAAACTAAATTAGGTCTTACCTTCGACATTTAATTCCTTTGCCACTCTTTTCCAGATCTGTTCTTTGTGTTCCGCGTTCCGGTACAGCTCCGTGGACTGGTCGTACAACACTGGATGCTTGCGCACTTCCTCGATCAGCTCCTCTGCTTTTACAGAGCTCATTTTGAGCAAAATAGAAGTTTAAACACAATAAAAATAAAAATTTGTACAAGCAACTAGTCTAGAAACAACCCGTCCTGCATCCGACAAACAAATAGACTGCAGTGTCGGTGCGTGATCGGAACCAAAATCGGAGTAGGATCGGAGTATGACATGACGCGTGTCGGAGAGGTGTGAACAACCGCGTTCAATGTTATGTACCATTTCCCTGTCCGACAGTCGTACCGCAGTATGATCGGAGTCGGATCGGAAGGGTGTATGACAAGTGTGTCCCCGCCTTGTGTCCCCGCCTTCAGTGAACTTCAGTACTTCAGTCTGATTTGTGCTGTTTTCTTTGCTAAAAAAATGCCACAGCTGTTATAATAAAAACTGAAACTTTCAACAAACATTCTTAAAGAACTTTTTACTGTCATCTTGTAAAGTGTATAGTTTATAAAACTGTCGATTTAAAAGTCTCTGACTTACTATCGGATGAACCCAATATTTAAGTTGTCTTCTTTTTTCTTTGGTCTAATTAGAAGAGCACAAACATAGGTTAATTCAACAAAGTCCATTTTAGTATAGCTTAAACCCATTAAAAAAAATCCGTTTCTCGACTAAAAAATCGCCACGTGTGCGCCTAGACATAAATCAATGGCGATTTATTTTTGGCCGATTTTTTTATCGGCCGATCGAAAAATCGACCGTGTGCGCCAGGCCTTTCCGAGCTCAAGTTTTACGATCGAGGTGACAGCCGAGGTAGGAAAATGAGCGAGGGTTAAAACGACATTTTTTATGCCCGTGTGATGAACTATAATTTTCGTCATATTGCACCATTCTTTGAACAAACTATGTTACAAAACTGATACAGTTTTCATTCTACTTCCAAATTGTTCTCAATTTTGTTTACGGAGACAAACAGGTGTTTAGTAAGTTATTCAATTATTACGTATATTACTATTGTATTAATATATATGAAACTATCGATATGTCGTACAATTAATTGACAAAAAGGCAACAATAAGCTACAACCGATTTAAACAATCGATACATACTTTCGATACATGCGATTGCTTATAATCTAAGTTTACAACTGAGTTAACAACAGCTGACTTTTACTGAGTAGAGTAGGGGCAACCTGCATGATCGGGCTATGGGAACGGGGTTTTATGGGGTAAAAATTTGTTTTTCTCATTCCCAAAAAATTCCTAATTTCTCTCTAGACCGTTTTAAAGAACTTAAAAAAACAAATAATTTAGTTTATTTAAGTTTTTTTTTGTACGGTTATTAGTTACGGATAAATTCAAAATATCTCAATTTCAAAATTCCTACGTTACTCTTATGGAGAATATTGTAAATTGTAGTTTGCTTGTTTGTGGATATATTTTGATCAAACTTGGCAAATTTTGTTATTTTATACTAACCTATTATTATTTTACTAAGACTACACTTAGCAAGCATCTCTGTAGCAGCAAAACCTAGGTACTCGTTAACCTTATGTTATTTAAATACTAAACTGAAAATAAAATGGATAAAAAACAAATGGACATTCGCTTAGTCTGCAGGTTTGCTGCGGCGGGAGTTGGTCCTGTTCATAGACAACATTTGCCTGGTTTATGTCTTATGTTTTTCACTGTCTGAAACGAAAACAGTTTGTAATTCTCTGATGTAAATATGAGTAGTCGTATAGTGGTTGATTAATGATTAGTTCGAATTTTCTTAATTCGTTGAAATTGCCAGAATAATCTATGTATGACAAAACAATCTCAAAACGATTCAAAGGGCCAGAGGAAACAACCTTTCTTGTTTCTTCAAATTAACTTCGTACCAGGGGATAAGGAAATTAACGAGTCAGGTCTCAATAGTAGGAAACGACAATCCGTCGCTTAGCTTGTTTTCCTGTCCAACATGTTAGTTCAATTATGGTATTTCATTATTAGGGCGTAAAGTGACTCTTTGGCTAGGCGCACACGAGCGATTATTTTGAGGCGACTATTTCATCGGCCGATCTGTGCATCATGTATTTGAATGGAAGCGCGCACACAGGCGATTGAGAATTGCGCCGATTTTAAAATCTGGGTTTTGCCACAGATTCGTAGGCGAGGCGATTGTCGCCCGAAAATCTGTAACGTACAGATTGTTATCAGTCCGCGCACACGGTCGACTAAAAAATCGGCCAGTCGCTTGTTGTTCTCCACAGGAGTCAGTGAACTTCAGTACTTCAGTCTGATTTGTGCTGTTTTCTTTGCTAAAAAAATGCCACAGCTGTTATAATAAAAACTGAAACTTTCAACAAACATTCTTAAAGAACTTTTTACTGTCATCTTGTAAAGTGTATAGTTTATAAAACTGTCGATTTAAAAGTCTCTGACTTACTATCGGATGAACCCAATATTTAAGTTGTCTTCTTTTTTCTTTGGTCTAATTAGAAGAGCACAAACATAGGTTAATTCAACAAAGTCCATTTTAGTATAGCTTAAACCCATTAAAAAAAAATCCGTTTCTCGACTAAAAAATCGCCACGTGTGCGCCTAGACATAAATCAATGGCGATTTATTTTTGGCCGATTTTTTTATCGGCCGATCGAAAAATCGACCGTGTGCGCCAGGCCTTTCCGAGCTCAAGTTTTACGATCGAGGTGACAGCCGAGGTAGGAAAATGAGCGAGGGTTAAAACGACATTTTTTATGCCCGTGTGATGAACTATAATTTTCGTCATATTGCACCATTCTTTGAACAAACTATGTTACAAAACTGATACAGTTTTCATTCTACTTCCAAATTGTTCTCAATTTTGTTTACGGAGACAAACAGGTGTTTAGTAAGTTATTCAATTATTACGTATATTACTATTGTATTAATATATATGAAACTATCGATATGTCGTACAATTAATTGACAAAAAGGCAACAATAAGCTACAACCGATTTAAACAATCGATACATACTTTCGATACATGCGATTGCTTATAATCTAAGTTTACAACTGAGTTAACAACAGCTGACTTTTACTGAGTAGAGTAGGGGCAATTAAGTAGGTCAATTTATTGTGCTGTAGACAGATTTTAATACGAGTAATTGTACTACGTAGGTTACTGCGTAGCAGTGTATTTTAGTTACGAGAACTTACGAGGTAGCCTACAGTAGTTGCTGTGGCCGTAGTGTCGACTGTCGAGTAGTCCGGGCTAACGGTGGACATAATCGCCAGTTTCGGACGATGAACTTTGTGCCGAACCAACAGCCCACGGAACTTCGAGACAGTCTCCTTTGGATTATCCAAGAAAATTATGGGACAAACCACGATAATTATAGAGTAAACTGTGATAGTCATGGGATAAACACGATAATTATGGAGTGGAATGAAATGGAACACGAAAATTGTGGGGTTAACCACGAAAGATGAGATGAGCCACGAAAATTATGGTATGAACCAGAAAAGTTAAAGGATACACATAAAAAAATTATGGCACATTTCCCTGAACATTGAGAGGTGAACCAAACAATGGTATAAACCACAGAGATTTTTGTATTGACGCCAAATATTGAGGGTTCAATCCTGAATAGTTTGAGGGTCCCATAAAAATTAAGGGGTAAACCACGAAATTTATATCAGCCACAAAATGTATGTGGGGCCTTGAAAATAATGTGTCGAATCGCTAAAATTATTAAAACACCACCTTGGCATCATATTCAGTATTCTTACGACTTGTTCCTATTCTTACTGAATGTTTTATTTATTCTCAAAGTTGAATGGCAAACATAATGCAGGCAGTAAACGCTGACAAAATATCTGTTTGAGTTATCAATTACTTTTATCCTACACTCACCTCCATTCATACTTGGCTTACCTACATTAGAATGGTCGCCATTTCATAAGAAAGTATTAAAGTGCTGTGGAAAGTAGTGTTAAGACTACGTAGGTGTATTGTGCTTCTTTTAAATGGTATATTCTACTATGGGGATTACAGTTAAATTCAACCTTGACCTATTAGTAGGTGAGGTGACTGTAGCTTGGAACTGATGTTCAATTATTCAACCGGCTTGTCCAGAGTATTCTCCCGTGGGGTAGATAAAAGTCGTCCAGTTTTCCTCCAGGATTCCCTTGTCAGTTAAACACCCCATGTTTTATGAACCATAAATTCTGCAATGCAATTTATATTTTAATGGCCGGTTTTTAATTGGAATCTGCAATTTAAAAATTATATTTGGACTGTGATGCATAACAATTTTTGTTCGAAGCGATTGGTTGCAATAATGAAGTGTTTTGAGATATTTTCAGTTTTACGACTGAAATGTTTTTATGTACCGTACTGTAACAATTTTATGGCTAGGGTTTGGTTAGGTTAGGACCGAGACATAACCTAAAACATCAATTGTGCATAGCTGCATGCAAATTGCATAGCATTCGTATAATGAAAAGGGCATTTTTTAGAACATCAAACAAATACTTCATCTTTCTTTAATTGCTGTACCTAAAAGTAACAACGCCGGAAGAGTCGAGTAGTCTGTATGATGGAAACTGTATGGTCGAGCCAGTCCAAGGTAGATCTCCGGTCAGGAGACAGGTTACATCATACAGACTATAGTCAACCCCTCGAGTGAGGCGTATGCACGAATCATACAGTACGACATGAATTGGTAGAACTACTTTCTTTCCTTAGTGTCCACCTTAAAGCAATAAGTAATTCATTTTTAGTCACAGTTCTAGAAAAATAAAAATATGCGTGTCCGGTACTTAAATAAAATATCCATAGCAGTATTCTGCTTTTACGTTATGTCATTAAAAAATCTTAAATACTCGTACGTTTAAGATAATAATCGTCGCCGACGTAAAAATGGCCGTTCGGTTTAAGATTTTATTCGTTAAATGGCAAGAGCTGTTTTTTACAAACCTTTAGAAATCTAATAACTATACTGTATGATTTAGATATAAAATAACGAAATTGTTCATTGATTTGGATGTTAAAATGATTTTGTGAATCACTATGGAAGCTTCTTATGGAACACTGTTATTTTGGATTATGTTTTAAATCCACTTAGCAATAGCCGTTAAAACAATTTGGAATTCCATTTATATTTTTCGTAGTCTAAACAGTGTTGAATGCTATTAAGATTTAAGTCTTGCCAAGTCCGTTGACCCGTTGGCAATGTTTCATTTAAATTTAACAATCCACCTCTAAGGTAGTTTGTTGGAGTTCAGTTATGAAGGAAGTTTGGTCATTAACAGCTTCAATCGTTTTTCATTTATAGTTTTAACTTTTTATTGTAAGACATACTTGGGCTTAGATGA